TGTCCCTTACACTTACTAATTAAGATACATAGCTAGATTCATGAAGGGTCTATTATTTCATGGCCCCATTATATCCATTTACTTATTCAATATCTTTGGATTTAAAATATCAATATTCTCTCCTAATAAGAACACAAAAACTTTTTATGTCAAATGGAAGCGTTAATCCTTTCATTTTATATGTTATATGTCATTTTATATATTGACACATATAGCAATTTCCTTGGACATCAAAATTCATTGATTTAAAGGTCATATCTCAGTATAATCTATGGGTAATGTGATAAAATATGATGTTTAGAAAAATAATGTGAACTCAAGTTCTCTTCAGAACTTCACCTAACTATATTAAGAAGGGAAGACAGTTGGTATTTTTATGGAAATTTTTGTTCTTTTAAAGAAATCTCTCTTTTTTTTTACACAATATGGACCTTACCTTCTCTTCAATATATGCAGTAGGCTATCTCTGTAATCGGATGAGTAGGTCTGAAATAAGAAACTTTCCCCACCTTTTGGTAAATATATAAACTATTACTTAATTAACATAACTTTAACAATAATTATGTATTTTTCAACCAATACCTATGATAATAAGGGGAAGAGATACAGCCTGTAGGTAGGTAGGCAGTAAGTAAGTAAGTGTGCATAATCCAGATTTCATCTCCCACAGGAAAGGGATATTGCAGAGAACAAGTAGTGGTAGAAAGAAACAAAACTCTAAGATAATCCTTGTTCTTTGCTATCTATTCTCTTCAATGGTTAAAAAACATTCCTAAAGATAATCAAATATTCTTTAGATGATCACAAATGAGTTTTTTTCTTCCTTAAAAGACCTTTACTATTATCTTTCTTATATGGGCACCAGGATTCTCAATCAACTTTGAAATGCCTACGGCAGTCTAGTTGAAAATGCCGAAGCAAATTTCCCTTCCCTTCTGTTCAGTAGCCATGCTAAATGCTATAGCTATGTTTTAAAAATAAAGGTTTAGTTTTTCTTTTTCTTCTCTTCACTTTGTTCATTCAGTGTTTACAGAAACAGAGATCCCTCACCAAACTACGTAAACAAACAAACAAATTAGAAGAGAAGTTGGGACCAAGTGTGAAATTTCTGGCTGTTTTCCTTTCCACCTTTTTCTTCTCTCTACACAAGGGAATGCCTGCTCTCTCTTAAATTACTGCCCAAAGCAACTGAGGTGAAGAGGCCACCATCTTAATACCAGGTCAAAACAACTTCATTTCACTATGCTTGGGTTAAAGAGTATAAATGGTAATACACTAGTACAATTGCATAAACCACGTCCCTTGATTTATATTAGTAAAAAAGGAAATTCTATTAATCATTTTGCAACAAAGTATAGTTTGATGAAAAGTCACTAAGCTAATAAGAGTTTTAAATGTTATTTCACAGCATTTCCTGAAATAACTGGAACTTTGAAAAGACTTAAAAATTTGTTTCTTCTAAACATAATTACCTTTTAAAAAAATGATAGGTCATCTCCAAATTACATTTAGTCCATTCCTTCTCTCCTATGCTTTTTCACATAAAATAGAGTAATGGAAGCTTTTTACACAATATATAAACATGCTAGGGTCCCATCTACACAAAGACAAAGGTGAGCTTTTAAATTCAAGATCAAATTATATTCTGGAATTTATCTCAGAAAAGAGGCTAAGCACATTATTCAAATTACAACGAAGTAGATGATAAATGAGGATATGCATTTTTTTTTAAACTTGAGGAAACAAAATTGGACTAGGAAGAGGAAACACCTAAAAATAATTTCAGCAGAATTGTAAAATGTGTACAAACATCACACAGTAAAAATAGTAAATGTTAAACATTTGTCATCTCCTAGTGAAGAGTGTTGAGAGGCTCTAAACTGAATAGAGAAAGAAAAATTTTCAGAGCATATGACAATGCAGAGAGTGTAATTAAAACCATTTTTAAAGTTTGTTTCAAAACTAAATATGGAAAATATAATTGTTATATTTTAAAAAGCTATTTATTGTGAAGATTGTAGGACAGTTTTTAGTTATTAGGAAATTAATTGTATAGATTGTTAACATTTCCTAACTGAATACAATGTTTGGCTCCCTATCTATATTGAGCTTGGCATTCCAGAATATAACTATCTAGGGATTTATTTCGTTTTAGAAAAGGGTGTGGGAAAATGCAGTCAATCATACTTTACTGAAGTAAATGGCTTTAGGATAGACCTAACAGCACCACTGCCTGTGCCTAGTCAAACAAGCAAACAACTAAATGTTGATATTAAAAATATGAGATGCTGCCTTTTAGCTAAATTAAAACTCAATACAGTAAGTATCTTATTCTAGCAGAGTGTGGTGTTTCCAAAAGAAATGACAATCCTGGCTTTTAATAACAAAAATACAATTAAATAAAAGAGGTGTTTTTTTGGCCCTTCTAGCAAAGTGTCCACCCTCTTTATCCAACCCAAAGAATGAATGTGTTTATTTTTCTACATTCCAAGAAGACTTAAAACTTGAGAAAGTAGGGATCAAAGGGGCAGTTTAAAGTCCCTTTAGCATACCGTTCTACAATATAAACAGAAAACAATGCTGTCTGATGTTAACAACCAAAAAAAGACAAACAAATCCTAAATCAATGATTTAAAAGGCCACTTTAAGGTGTGTGGTTTTGTCCCTATTTGAAGTTCTCTCTTCATCCATCTATTGAAATGGGTCTCAAAATCAGTTTTCTGACTTTTCTAAGATAATTCAATATATGATAAATTCTGTTTCCTTAATGACCTCACTCTTTTCTTTGTATCTCTTCACTTGCTCATCCCTTAAATGCTCTGGTTTCCTAGGGCTCATCTTCTCCATCCTTCATGCCCTTTCCGTGATCAAACTAATCAGCAACCAACAATTCAACTATGAACTATAAATACTCCTCCCAAAACTGTGTCTTCTTTCTTCTAAGCACCAAAGTTATCTACCCATCTGCCCACTGAACATCTCCACCCAGAGGTCCTAAAGGTACTTCAAGTTCAATGTACCAACAACAGACTCGCTGTCTTTCTTCTAAAACCTGCTATCTTTGTTTTCTTTTAATTGCAGGGAACACTGACCCAGTCTCCTAAATTATACATATACAAATAAATACTACGTCTTGTAAATCTAACCTTCACACTTCAATAAAAATCAGCGTCTAAGACCTGGATCTGAATATGTCATTCCTTTGCTTTAAAAAAAAAATGAAAACAAAAACCATAAGATAAAGTCACTTTATTACGGTATACAAAGTCAGTTTACCCTTCCATCTCTAGATACTTCTCTCCTGCCTCACTCTCCAAAGACACACCTGTGCTCTACAGTACACATTACTTGCACTTCCCAAGTATACCATTCACTCATTCAATAAACAAGCACCTTCTATGTGCCAGGCACTGTTCTGAGCATTGGGGATATTTCAGTGAACAAAACAGACAAAGTTTCTGCCCTCATGGGCATACATCCTGGTGGAAGCAGACAGACAAAAACAAATGTATAATAGATGAGATGGTGGTAAGTGCCGTGGAGAAAAACATCTAGTTAGAAAAGCAATTCAGAGCAACACAACAAACAGTGTGTTCTGTACACTTATGACATCCACATGTCTTTAAAAGTACAATCATACTTCTATATCCCTTAAGTTAATTACATTGCAATTTAAATTATAATTTAAAAACACAACCCCATGAGTAATACTGAGATGTATAGTCGTTGAGAGGCATTAAAAACAAAACAAAACAAAACCAGCTTACTTCTGGAACAACCAATTATAATAATTTTATTTTTTGAGATTAAAGTTGATAGAGTCAAGAGTGTTTTTCTTTGATTCTAGTGTTTTAGTTGGCTCCTGGATGCACCCCAAAAACAGTGTTATTAGTGTTGGCACATTTCAAATTATGCCATGAGATTAGAATCTATAAAACTTAAAGTACTCATCTAGAATTAGTCTCATTGTTAGTTCATTGTCTCTATACCATGGTTTCAAATTTAGTGCCTACAACTTAAGACTCCACAGTAATATTAAAACATTAAAACATTAGAGACAGGAAATTTTTGCTGGTGATTTAAAAATAGTTGTTCAATTGTCTGAATCATTTAAGTACATAATATGTTTCAACTGTTTACGTAGAGCTGAAACAACCGGAGAAACCTACATAAGAGCACTGTTTAAGATATAGGATATTACTAAAGGATTTGACTATGAGCCAACGAAAATTTGCACAGACATTAATTGGACTGTTTCATACTCAGAAAAGAACAATGATCTGCCTTACCATCTAAATACTAATACATACTTTCAAAGACTTTAAAGGAACTCAGATTTTCCTCTGGGAATCTTCACTATTATTGTATTACATACGGCTCCAGTCTGTAGACATGAATGAATGAATGAATGAATGCATGCATGCTGGTGTTTTAGTGCTTACATAAATATGTAAAGAAAACTAAAGGGGGGGTTTTCAGATGTGGAAGTTAAATCTGAAATGTTTTAAACTTCTAATAACTAAATAGATATTAACCTCAGTGGAAGCTGAGTCTTACCTTAATGACAACTCTAACAAGGAGAATTCTGTCAAAGTTTTCAAACAATGATACACTTCATCACATTCTGAGGGCATAACGTTTCACTTCTGTCCATAATCCCTGAATCCTTACAAACATGCACATTGTGGGAAGCTCCTTTCTGTATGTTACATGAAGATCAGCTTCTTCTCTCCTCAAATTGGTTGGCAGAACGGGTAAACATCCCAGGCCCAGCTGAAATTCTGACTAAAGTGTGGGCCTATAGGAAATATTGGGTTGGGGAGGGAAAAGTGTAGATAAGCCAGTCTGCAGTGTACTAATAATTCCTGTGTTGGAGAAAAAAAGCAGCTACCACTGTACTGTAAGGGCAAGAACTTATGTTCTATTTCAAAACCAAAACCAAAAATGGCTGAGGCAAACTTCACTTCATTCTCAAGGCTGGGAGGAAGGAACACACATACCGCATCTGTGATGTCTATTTCATACACCCTTTGGAAAGTCCTGCGCTCAAAGAAAACAAGTTTGCCGCTGCCACATCCCCTTTGAACAGACGTACCGGTGACTATGAGTTTATCATCTGGACTGAAACAGCAGTCAGTCCTACAGACAAAAAGAGTTTATAAGTATAGGCTTATGATGCCACAACAGTGCAGTGATAATGAGTTAAAATATAAACAACCTCACTGTAATAAGAGACGACTCTTACATAGGGTTTATAGTAAGTCAGGCACTTATATTAATTCACTTAATACTCACAATAATCCTATGAAGTAGATACTATTATCCCCATTTTACTGATTAGGAAACTGAGGCAGGAAGAGTTTAAATAAACCTTGTCCAAGATCACAAAAGTAAGTGGTACAGCTGGGATTCGAACTTAGACAGCCTGACTCCCAAATCTGTGCTCTAATTTCTATACATTATAATATCTTTCATTGTAAATAACGTGTGGGAAAAACTCAATATAGACATTGACCCTGTCTACACACAAATAGACAGTATATGACTAACGTCTAAGTAGTGATTATTTTGATCAGTTTGGGAACTATTTTTATCAGCACTACCTCTCAAACAATTTGAGTTTTGTCAAGTCAAGCACCATGAAATGAGGAGCAGCTTGTACCGCTGGAACCTAATTGATGGCTGTGATTCAACAGCTCTTGTGATGAGAGGTCTAGCCACCTGACTGTGAATAATCTAAGACATGAGCCAAAGACGCTATCTAGGTAGCATTACTTGCAGCAGGCATAAGGCTCAAAAAATTCGTATCGGCTAAGAATTCATGTTTGTTTATCCATCTGTTTGTTTTAACAGATAAATGCCATGGGCAATAGACTGTGTCAGAGTTAGTGCTCTGATATTATACAGCTTCCTCCATTTGCTGCTTCCATTACCTTCACACTCTCCTTGTTGGCCATTATTTAATACAGATGAGAAATTTTATTTCTACCAAAATAGAAATTTTTGCTTAGGCACCAATTGTAGGACTTAGAGATCAAATCCCAACCTCAGCTCTTTGCAGAAAAATCTTTAAAGCTTCAGTTATCAACTTAGTAGAATGCAGATAACAGTGTTCAGCTACCCAGAGCAAGACAGTTTGAATAAGTGACGGTCACCGAATTACTGATTCAAATGATGATAAGAAAAAATTGAGAAAATGACATATAATATTCAGTAACTACGAAGAATTGCTTTAATGGTATGAGGATTCAAATTTTAAAAGAAAACAAATAAAAGACAGGCGGACTCTGTCATTTATACACTATTAAAAGAACAATTCAACCCTTTAAAATGTTTTTACTACCCCAAGACCTATGTGTGCATACAATATATATATTCACACACACAAATACATGAACAGCCATCATTTCAACTTCAAAAATAAAATTTTATATTCTGAAGAATGTACAAAATGAAAGGAAAAATAAAAATTCGTCTTTCAAAAAACCTATTTCAATCACTCTTCAAGTCCCTTTTCTAGAAAATCTAAGACACATGCTATAAATTAACATGAAGATGAAAAAATTACTTTTCCATTCTCTTGTGCTTATCGAATATTAAAAATATGCTACTTACATTGGGAACATGGTGGGAAGACCCGAGGCTGAAAAAAGTGGCTTATTAAACTGTCGGATGTCCCATAATTTTAATGTATCATCACCTGATAGAGGAATGAGAAAGGAAAAAAAAAGAAAGTAAATTTTGCAAAAAAGAACCAGCCCCAAGCTTAGAGTTTGCAAAACTTAGTGTATAACTATAAGAAAAGGAAGGGAGAGAGGGAGGCGGGGGAGGGAGGGAGAGAGAGAGAAAGGAAGGAGGCAGGAGGGAAGGAAGGCGGGAAGGGGATGCACATAACACATTTTACTTTTTAACTAGGGAGCTTGAGAGCCGTAGTTGTGAGAACAGTAGAAAGATACATGATAATGAACTAGCTTCCTAGAAATTACTTTCCAGATTGATGTAGCATCTGCAGGCTAGAAGGAACCCTGGAGAATCTTCTCTAAAGAGTGACTTTAGAGCAGATGGTAGTTTCCCTGTGGTATATCTGAGCATAACTTGACTTCTTAAGAAGATATTAATTTAGCAACCACCAGGACTGAAAATAGTTCAGTTCACAACAGATTCTTTTTCCCACTAGTGTGTGGGTGAAACTATCCATTAACATTAATGAGAGTGAGCCAATGTGATTCCTTTCCCTCCAGTGTAACCCTATCTGTGGCTATCATTCTTCACCTTGCTGGGGAGTATAGCTTTTCCAAGCCATTTAAAGCATAATTAATATTCTTTAAAGAATCACTTTTGAAGTATTCTACAGGGCTACTAACTAATTCCTGTTCATAATGAAAGCCAAAACTCATATAAGTAATATCTTTGCTGTTCTTTTTCCCCAGTGTCCACAGCTGAGACCTGCCTCAACCCCCTGGGTGCAATAAGGAATCAGTACCAGACGCAAGTGAGGTGAGTGGAGAATTCAATAAAAATCCCCATTCTCTCCCCAGCAACCCTGACTCTGAAACCCAACTTTTGGCAGGTGCACTAATCCACAACTGGCTGGATTGGAGACCTGCTTATACTGGAAGAACTTTGTAGGACTCACCTTTTTGCTTTTAGTGTTTAAAAGAAGGTTACACATCCCCACAATCCTCAAACAATAAGAAAACATTAATCTGTATTAAACAGTTTAGTTAACCTGGAAGGTTCTGGAGCTAGCAGGAGCACCTTACAACACTCTGGGGACTCTGCTGAACAGAGAGACTTCCATCTGGTATATTCTATACATCCAGGAAGGAGAATGGTGGAATACAGTATACATGTTCTGTAGACGACATGTCACCCAACAGCTAGTATAGGATGGAAGGGGAAGGTAAAAACTATCACTAAAATGGCTTTGACTGAAATGGAGTTAATTCTATACTTCTAAGGCAGTAATAATCAACTGGGTGGGGCTGGGCTATTTCAGAATCCTCCAGGAAGAATTTTCAAAGTACACTCCTCTGTTATTCCCCTCTTCTTTCCCCACTCTACCTCGGAGATTGTGGTATACCACTCTAGAGGTGCGAGAGTGAATGTGAGAATTTCCTAGTGGAGGATTTGTCATTTTGAAAACCTTCCCAGGGGATTCAGATACATTCTTGGGGTAAGAATCACTGATGTAAGTACAGAGTATAGCACATAGTCTTAATTAAGAGTCATCTTAGGACTCAAAGAACAGGTTAGAATTGATGAACCAAAACATATATTTTATACATATCCATCTTTGCCATGTATATCGTAAATAGAAAATACATGTGCATGTGCTTTGATTTTTTTTAAATTATGTGAGTGAGGGTAGTTTGGGTATAATATATCAATAGAAGGCTTCCTTGGAAGAAGGAGAATCTGGATAGTTTCCAAGGGTAAATGGGCATGGACCAGTTAAACTGAGGGGAGAGCTGTGCCAACTCTATGTTCACCTCACTTCCATACCCTCTACATCAGACTGTAAATTCTTTCAGGAAAGGAACCCTGCTATGATGTCCACAGTTTATGCCAAGCACCTGGCATAATGCTTAGCTCAGATCAGTTGCTCAATATACAGTAAAGTGAGTGAATGAATGACTAAACTCAGTGTTGCTAGATTAATTTGGCCTGTGGAATAAAGACTAAATCCTTTATGTGATATTTAAGGCTATCTGTAACATGGCTCCAACCTACTTACCTTGATTCTTTTCTCTCCCCACAAATGGGCCTACTGGAAGATCCTCAGTCATGCCCCATACTTCCCCCTAATGCTTTGTTCAATAGTGAGTGCCCTCACTATTTTATTATCTCCTTCTATCAGCGTACTACTTATTCACGTAAGATTTAGCAAAAAGTTGGAAACAATCTCTATTCAATCATATGAGTGTGGATAGGTAAACTTACAATACGACCACACAGAATTACATAGCTGTTAAAAAAAATAACATCCAGGTATACAAACTTTTTTTAACTGAACTGAATTAGTGTTTGAACTGAAAAAAAATCAATGGTCAGCAAATAGAAGAGTTTGAAATGCCAGACCCAGAACTATAAAATGATACAGAAAGAATATAGAATATCATCTACAGAAGTCCATAAGGTAGAGGCAATGGTCATCCTTGCAGGCTCCAAATGCTGATGGAATTTGGAGCTAAAATGAAAACTTAGGCAAAAAAGTATATATTTTCTAAATTTTACTTGATAATTTTAATAAAAGAATGTTGCCAAGTTGAAAATGCATTTTAATGAAAAAAAACTAGACTGGCAAAGGTACATTAACAAAAGCACAGCTATAGCTTTACTAAGCACTGGGATATTAGTGTGACATTTGTTAGAGTTACATACCATCATTTTATATATAGAAACATATTAAAAAGAAAGCTTCTAACCTACCTCCACGAGAGGCAAGGACATTACCATCATAGGAAAAAGTCACGCAAGAAGTATCTGTGCCTGGGTCATGAGCTTGTTTATAGTGGAATTTAGGATGAACCTGTTTGCAAAGACAAGCAAAGTGTTAACATCTCATCTGAATTCAGATGAGAACATTTTTGTGGCAAGAATATTTTACTCTATCATCCAAAAACTGATATATAGCTACATGAAAAATATTAATTTCACCTGATGATAGTTTTTTTATTTTGGAAAAAATTTCAAAGGGCTTTTAAAAACATCCATTTGCTTTAATAAGCGAAAAGAAGAGACAAGGTTAAGTTCTAGTAGGAGATATTTTTCAGACTGCCTTAGCAAGCTCTGAGCAACACAAGATTAGCACCACATTTAGCTCTTCTCATTATACTTATAAAGTTTTGGGGACCATTTCCTACAGTTATCTGAAAGAATGAATATAAATAAAAATTACAAATGAACATATTATTAACTCAAAAATATTACTGTATTCCTAGTATATGCCAGACACTGTGCACACGGTTGTAAGTCTTGAGCTATCTTTAGTGTGCCTGTAGGATAATGTTGTTGTTGATGATAATGACGACAGCTAGCCGTTACACAATGCTTACCATACCCTAGGCACTACATTCTTTTACTAACTTGCCTATGGTGCTCACGTTCACTCTAGAAGATTATCTTCATTTTACAGATCAGGAAACTAAGCACAGAGACTTAAGTACCTTGTCCAAAATCACAGAGCTAGTAAGTGGTCGAGTTAGGAGTTTGAACCAAAAAGCCTACCCTTAAACACTACCCTATACCCCCTCTCTACGGATGTATGTTATTAGTCTTTTTACTTGCAATGTCACTTCTGAACAGTTAATGACTTATAAAAGTAACTCTACTACACTAATCTTGCCACCCAGTTATGATTCAGTAACCAGAACAGGCCAAAGTACTAGGGAGTCAATTATCCCAGATCCACCAGGCTGGACAATTACACAGTGAATGGCCAGGGACATTACTAGTGATGACAGCAAGTAGGTCTCTCCTGGCAGCCACAGGTATAGGAATACAAATGACCCATCTCCATCAATTTGCAGCAACCATAACAAAGAATGAGTCACAAAACAGAGCTCATGTACATTAGCCTCCCAATAATATCCCCAACACTCCATCACTGAGCTTTCACCAAAAAGTTTCCAGTAATGAGGACACACTACCTCACAAAAGCAAGCCTTCAAAAAAAAAATTGTAGGGCTTCCCTGGTGGCGCAGTGGTTGAGGGTCCGCCTGCCGATGCAGGGGACGCAGGTTC